CCATAGGCGTGAAAACCGTAACCCATGTTATTAAGGGCACCGACAGCACCCAATATATAGCTGAATGTTACGAATGTAAACTGCCATGTACCCCATTCACCAATTATATCGGACACGTGTTTCACATAAGGTATTTGCTTGTTCATCTTTATATATAATTAATTAATTTGTTTCACGATTTTTATAACTTTTCACTTAAGTTTTTATATTAATATATACAGCTATATATTTTACTACTGTATTTAATTTGTTTATTTTATGTGGCTTATCACAAGAAATTAGTTCAGTTTCATATAACGTGTTTGAAATCAATCAGCGTGCTAATTTTGTCACTTTTATTGTCACACTGTCAAATAATTGCGGTTAAAAATATAACATTTAATTATATTAATCTAATTATGGATGATATTTATATATATAAATCCCTTTTTAATTTGAAAATCAGAAGAGTAAATAAACATTGTACTGAATGTGCTTTAATCATAAATACGATCAAGGTCGTTTTTACTATTTACAATAATGACATTCAGTGATACAAGCATATTCAGTGCTAGTTAACTACATGTGTTTATAATTTAGACAAATTTCTGACATAGCATTGAGCAAATAAAAACATTAATTTTTTTAATTAAAAACACAGCTGTAACCATTGTAAAATAAGCTACTAAATAACATTTTTATATAACTTTTAGTACAAGTTTATATTTATAGTGTATTCAAATGCTGTTGCATTGTGCTATATAATTAATGCACATTCAATGAATATATTACACATTGTTTATATAAACTAAAATTATTAGTGAAACTAAAAATAAAATACAATAAATGATAAAGTAGGGGTTATAATGAATCAAAAATAATTAATTATTTTAATACCTATTAGACATACTATATAATGTAAGATTCAAAATCATTTCATTATGTCTGCGTGTTCAGATTATCATTCACACAATATGTTCACATCTTACTACTTAACTAGTTAAAATATAAAACTTATATAAATATATCTGGTAGACCAAAATGAGATCGACCTCTGAAAAATTGCTTTTATTTTTTCTTGAAACATTGCTTTTCTGTAAAGTTTGAAATTTACTTATATTAAACATAAATTTCCAACTTTACAGAAAAGCAATGTTTCAAGAAGAAATAAAAGCAACTTTTCAGAGGTCGATCTCATTTTGGTCTATCAGATATCTTGTTAATTCATTCATTTTGCTCAACAAATACTACAGATTACGTGATATGCTAATTGTGGTCCAAATTAGCGATAATCTAATCTTAAACAATGAGCACGCATTCAGTTCAACATGGTGATGTTGTATATGATTTAGCTGTATTGATAACCCTATTTAAAGTTTTGCAATCATATTTGTCCCTGCTCAATTTTACGCGGTTGATTTAGATAGGCTTTTATTAATATTGATATATAACTAATAATTATCGGATTATAAAATCAGATTTATTATTTTATAAAATAAAAAATTATTAAAAATACAGGTTTCCAAATTATTTTAATATTATAATTTATTACAAGATTAAAATTTTTAAAAACACTAAAAACTATAAATTTACATAATATTACTGCATTCACGGTCGACACCATATACTTCCCGGTGAATTGGGCCCATATATGGCACTAAATCTTTAAACTCTTGTAGGCCAAACTGGATATTCATTTCACCGAGAACATTTAGTTTATTTAATAAAGTCATAAATATTTGTAATTTATGTTGCGAATCAGATTCATCATGATATTTTAATAGCAAATAACGTTGTAGTAAATAAATATATAGTTGCTGTTGAAGTCTAAAATAAAAATAATTATTAAGGTTGTATAATAATAATATGTAACAAAACCCGCTTGCTTACTTAATATAATGCCTATTTATTAATCCTGGTCGATTTTGATTGAATAATATGATTGCAGTCAACTTTTAAGGGATGAATGAATAAATAATTACATTTTTATTAAAATAGAAACAATCTAGGTATTACCAAATTTTTTATAACAAGGTCCCCATCGATATCTGACCATAATAAGTTAATAAACTCTTTTAAAAAATTAGCAATATTTATACGTTTCCAGTGAAACAATTCAATACCAATTTCCATAGAATGCTCATGATCCTATTGGTACAAAAATAATTAAAAGTATTTTTATATAGATCAAAATTGGTAAATAACCTACTAAATTTACGAAAAACTTTTGTGTATTGTAGTTATAATTTCTTAAATGACCAAACGTTAATAACTCGAACGTTCCGTATTTGATGAGGACTATTTTATCATCAGGGCATAAATTTAAAAATTCATTTAAACTTTGCGACATTATTGTAAGCTCCTGGATTTGGGTTTCCATTCTACCTGAACCAGTTTGAGCTAGTTCAAAATTGTTGCACATGCTTATTTTGTACTTTGTATCAGGGTATTCTAATATTTTACACGCTGCACCCAACTCGGATACCCTGTTGAACTCCAAGTCCTGCCAACCCTTATAATCTGGTAGTATTTTAAATATGCTGTATATTGGTAAATTATTAAATGCACAAATTCGTTCATCAATATGAGCTTGATAAGTAAAATCATATTTTGATTGATCGTGTGAATTAGTAGTATCAGTGTTTTGAGTATCGCTATTTAAATCTGAGATTAGGTCAGAGTAATCTAGCACATTTTCTATACTTTTACAATCAAATTTATCGTGCTTGCTTAATTTATTTTCTTTCATATGAAGTCGCCGCAATTTATTTTGAATATCATTTTGTATTAATTCCTGTTAGAAATATATTATTTAATTAGACATTTGATACTAAGGTGAGTTTTACAAAACCTTATTCATGCCAACTGCCAAGCATTTATGAAGTCTACATTTTGGACATTTTCGACGCGATTTTATATCAATGTTACAGTTGTCAACGAATCGACATTTAAAATCCTATTAAATAATTTAAACAATATAATTAAACTAGGTTAGTTTAATAAAATTTATTACTATTTAGTAAACTATTAATACCTCATTTTTATTAGCGTTTCTACGGAAAAATTCTTTGCACGATGCACAGGTTAGTTGTCCAAAATTATAACCTTGTTGATTTAAAACATTAATTTTAACGTATTTTTAATAAATATGCACGCGTATAATTAATTTACTAAACAACACGTTAATGTTGTTTATTTAATATACAAAATAAACATACCAATTGCTTTATCACCACATATTGTACATTTTAAATCATCCATGGTACAGTATGATATATTAATGTTTGTTTATTACATTTACAACCGGGTTACTTTGTATTTAAAATTAATATTTTTATATACTTAAAATCAATAAATATTTTTAATTAAAAATGGTCGCATTGGATAACATATTACACCATAATAATTAATAGCAAAGTAATCAATTTATCATTTATTATCTGAAAACATGTTTATAATTTTGATACAAAATAATTTTGGCGGTTTATACAACATTTATTTTATATTAAAACTTTGTAATTATGAATTTATATTTAATTTATCAAATAGTTTTATATTTTTTATGTATACTTTTTTATGTAAAAATATTTAAACTGTTGAATTTACACAAGTATTTACAAATACTTTTCAATTTTTCAATGATACCAACAAGGTCATAATCATTTAGAAATATTATACGACAAATAAAATATATAGTACAGTACAATCATAAATCATATTTAATTTGACATAAGTTAATTGTAAATATTACAAATGACAATTTTATAAAAAATACTTTAATACCAAATATTATCTATTTATTTATTGCATAATAAATTATTTTTATTATTAGTGTCACAATTAAACAGTATTATATTTTTAATAATTATATAATTTTTTAAAATAAATATTTTATAAAGTCTAATATTATCATACTAATCCTATTATATAATAAATTATTTACTAAATTTTTTTAAATAGCATATATTTATTCATACAAGTATATGAATTACACATTTCAAATTACCTATTTATATTATTAATTAATTATTTATCAATATTGTAAATATAATATTTTTCTATAATTAACATTATTTATTACATTCATAAATATCAACAGGCTTATCACCAGAAACTATTTTCCAAACTGAATCTAGCAACAAAATATTGACCTTATCCTTGGTCATTGGTAAATCTGTCAAAGTCTTACGCAACATCAAACAAATTTGATCCGGATTCAAGTTGGCATCTGTGTACTCTTTTATAAACTGATCCAGGCAACTCATTGTGCCATCATTGGTGATAGGTGCACCATGCTCATCAACACAAAAGCACCGTTTCCCCTCGTCAAAGCACTGGTAGGCATCGTAGTTACCTAGCTGATCGCACGATAGTTCCCGGTATGACTGTAGTTCGTATTGAGTAAGGTAGTTTTGTAATGCGCACCGGCATGTCATGTCCCGACCATTAAGTTGCAATTTATCTATCCGAGAGTTGCCAAGTGGTTTGGCATCAGTAGGGTTGACACATTGACATATTGCTAGAGTATGATATTTTAATTAATTATGAATTTTAAAATTAGAGTTAGGTTAGGTTAGATTAGGTTAGGTTATTTTTTATTTTTTATTTTTAAAATTAAATTTATTTAATTTGTAACAAACATTGGTAACAAAGGTGTAGTGTTACTAAATGTTTCACCTCGATCACATTGTTTCGTCGCGTATTTTCCATCAGCTGAGCATGCAACTTTTCGCATATTTTTGGGATCATAACCGCGTTTCTTGAACTCCAATGCATACGACTCCGGACCTAATACTAACTTTTCGCATGCACTCAAATAATTAGTATCCGACTCCTTTGTGTTTACTTGTTTACTCTTTGCTTGATCAACTGTAAATAATAATTAAATTTAATTACATAAAATTACCTAGTTTATTTTAAAACAATTATTTAGGATATAATAATTTTATTATATCCATAAACAATGTAACAATAATTGTAATTAATATTGATAGCTCACAACATGCTAATGACTGTAGTGCACCATAAAATGCCGCTTTGTCGGGGGTAGGCTTGCCACTTTTTGGATCAACACAGAAACATATACCACTATTGCACTGTAGGCGCTCCCAATTTCCACCACTGTCACATTTTTGGTGTATTTGTGAATAATATTCTAGGGTATTTTCAGAAATGTCACCCTGTTTACATTGTCCGCCATTACAGCCACGAGTACCGGTGACCAATAACTGATTAAAATGATCAGAGCATGTGCATGTCACGTTTTCGGCCATATGTCTTTGTGTTAGGCCAAATGTGAATTTACCATCAGTAGGATTTACACAAAAGCACCTTGCGTATAATATAATAATTAAAGTATAGTATATTAATCAAAGTTTATACCTTTTATAAGTAATTATATGTTAATCATATTTTTCTATTTATAAATACTAACTGATCTTGGCGACATTGTTTAAGTTGATAGTTCCCGGTTTTGTGATCGCAATCTGGTAAGTCTACTAAATCTTGCATATATTCAATAGCGTAATAACTGATTTCACCGGGTTTAGTACTTTTAACATAAAAACTAATTTTATCATTAGCCACCAGTTCTCTATTATGATACTCGGTAAGACATTTGGGCAGTTTAGCTGGGTCACTTCCTTTGGGGACATGACACTGTCTGGTGGATGCGTCGCACTCCAGCCCATTGCGGCACCGGAATAATAAATTGCCAACTTGGCAATCCTGATTTTCATCTACAAAAATACCACATTTGGTAAACTAGCTACAATGGTTAACAATTATATTTGTTTTGTAACTTACCTAGTAAGTGTACACACGCTGGGCAACACCCATTACTAGTAACATTATTTATTATTACAATGTTATCGCTATGAACATCGCAATCTAAAATTTGTTGGCATTCAATCTGCAATAATTAATAAGTTATTTTTAAATAAAAATTTTATATAATATTAAGTAACTCACCTTGCCACAAAAATCTGTATCAGGTAAGGTAGGGTTGACATTGCAGCACGTTTCCCGAAACTGTTTGCTACGTTTTTGGTAGCAATATTGGGGTAGTTCTCTAGTATTTTCACCTGGTTTTGAACATGTGAATAAATTATCTTGTTTATCGCATTTACCAGTTGCAAACACTAAACTCAATACAAAACTAAACCATAAATATTGGCCAAACATTTTTTACTTATTATTTAACAATAAATTTATTTTTACAACAAGTGTACGGTGTACAGTGTATACTATACAATTATAAATTTTATTATAACACTATAAAATAAAACAAACGTCACTTTCGTGTAATAAAGTTAGAAAATACTTTACTAACGTAGAAAATGTATAGGTATTGTTATAAGTACTAATTCAGATATTAATCGTACATTAAGGACATCCTTGATGACGTTAAATCTATTATAAGAAAATTGCCCTCATACTATAAAATAGCACTAATGCTCTAATTGAGACATAGCATTGTAATGTAGCTTAAAAGATTACTGTAAGTTTATTACCAATTATTTCATTATTTACCCGTAACTTATCCTGATATTATAAAATTAATAGACTTAATACTTATAACTTTAATGTTATGTATATAAGTACAGAACAGAATTGGCAAAATAATTATAATTAGTTATTATTATAGTTCAAATAAACGACTGAGTAAATGAATTATTCTAGTTTTACAACTTTAATGATAGTACACTAATAATAATCGCAAATTTAATTCAGATTGAATATTTAAAAATTACTATAAATTAAAAATATTATTTACTTAATGTGAGATAATGATTTTTATTTCGCATATTTCAACTGATAATAATTATAATATTATTCAACAATTATGCATATTTTTGTTTAATTAAAAAACTGATAATGTAGTATAGATATAATTGAGTGGTGTAAAATTAAATATAATATATTTAAATTTTACGTTTTATTTATAATAATACATTAGTTAAATATACATGATTTATAATTGCA